CCCTTTTGTTTAACCTTGAAGAATATTCATAGATAGGCCGGACTTAATTTGGTTAATTAAATTCAAAACGAACTATTCTTTCAAGTCTTTGAGACTAGACACCTTTTTTAAAAGCCAAAATAGGTGTCTGCTCTCGCGGGGTTATTCATCTTCTATCAGTGCAAGAAATTGAAGATAAGATCCGCATCAAAAGAAAACTTCGCCAGAAAAAAAAGCATGAACGAAAAATATTATAGCAAGAAAACAAGATCACCTGCTGTGTTGCAGTTATGCATGTAATAGAATTGGCTATGGTGTTCTGGGAAAAGTTCTTGAGGTGGTTCGACCCAATAGTGGTTCGAACCTATCTTTATGCAGCGTTAGAGATATCAGCATATGTTTAAAACCGCATTTTTATAAAAGATGTCAATAACTTCGAAACCCTACGACAGATTTTTCTTTAAGTCTAGCAACCTTTTGCTTTGTTAAGATTAGTTTCGAAAAGAGAGGGGCCGGATTAATACAAAGTAAGTATGAATGAAAGTTCGAATGTAAGTATGAATGGAAGTTTTTTGATCTTGCCCCGCATTCAGCATAAAGTTGTTCTACTTGTATTACGAACTGTGTTCGTTGTAGGTTTCTGGTTACTCAGCAATAAAACTTTGGGTAAGAATACCCTTGCAGATAGGAGATAGTCCGTTGGCACTCTTCCTCAATTTGTGCGTCAACTTTCAAAAATGTGTTAGCGTTGCATTTTAAGGTTAAATTTAACCAGCATTTTGTGCAGCAAGTTCTACGGTCACAATTGACTGCAAACTTGCAGATGTAAAACTAGAGAGCAGTCTCAGGCTTATTTGCGAAGTAGAAAAAAATCTGTCGGAGGCTTTCGAAGTTATTGACATTTTTTGTAAAAATGTGGTTTTAAAGTGCCGATATCTCAAACATTTTCGAAAATCATTTCCAAAATCTCGCCACGTGCTTTTAGAGTGACTCCGTTCTTTTCATTTCTGCACGTCTAAAACGTCTACCCGGCGTCCTTTTTGAACAATTTGTTTGTGAATGCCTCATCGCGCCGGTCTGGTTAAATCTCCCTCCTTTAATTGATGGACATTTGAAATGAGTGTTTGCGCATATTCGAGAAAACTCGTGTCTCCCTGTTGATATTTAGTTGTACAATATCATTTAACAACAAATTCACCGAAGGCAAAGTTAATCGATTGCTGAATGATTACCGAAGAAAACATAAAGTTTCGTCAAGAGATCAATTTAAAAAACATTATTTTTAGAAACTATAAAGATCATGCGGAAACTTTATCCGGTGGATAGTTTGACTTCCAGAAGATTCGCGTTAAACTGGCAAGACGAAGTCAACAAATGAAAAAAAATGGCGGCTTTAACAGAGGGAGTCCCACACGTGTTAGATTTGTTTAAATTGTACTATTTCAACGACGCTCATAACATCGAAACTACCCCGAGAAAACAGCAACATTTCGCGACGCTGCCACTGATTTCCGCGGCAAGGTCATTTCGAGGGGAAATCAGTGGCGGGGTCGCGAACTTTTTGGCTGTTTTCTCATGCTACGTCGAAACTGGATAAACCTTCTAAACAAACGGGTTCTTTAAAAGGACCCGTAATACAGTTACTCGATACTGACTCGACCGCCTGACTGTTATTGAGGTACTGGAGGCTCTATTGCTGCTTTTCAGTGTCACGCCATTCAAAATAGATCAAAATCAAAATTAAAACCGTTCAATAGATAAAGTCCAGAATCTGGGGAAATGAAAGGAGGTACATATACAAAGACCCTCGCCATCGCCATATCCGAAGAAAAGTTTTACCCAAACTTATAGAGATTTGTATGGAGACGCCATGCTGGTGCTCACCTGGATGAGCTCCAACATGGCGGACGGAAACCAACAGAAACATCTGTTAATGAGTTTTGCTACAAAAGCGTGAATTTATTCAGCTTTATTCTTCGAGAAACTCATAAACATTAAAGTAATACTTTTTCTAATACATGGACTGTTTATATAGCAAAATGTCCTGAAATAAATCATTTTTTTTAACCTACATAAAAGCTCTCTTGACCGTCATGTAAATGCCGCGTCACGCAAAAGCTTAGAAATTCAAGCGTACTTTATCACAAAACCAAGAACCCTTTTGAAGCGAAAATTTGTATGAAAATAAGTTTTCAGCTGCTCTAATGCATCGTGAAAGTAAAATCTCCGTAGGATCGATAGTTTTTTAGTTTGAATTTTAGTGACGTCATGTGAAAACCAATTATGATGTAATTATGATGTCATACTGTGCAATTTTGGGCGCTACCCCTCAACACCTTTACAAGAAAGTAGGGTGGCAATGGGAAGCAGATTAGGGCCGTAGGCAACGTCGAAGAGAAGATGCCGCGGCGGGGATTTAGCTTGACTAGTGTATTATAATTCAGTAGAAACATAAAACTGGGAATTCCAGCCCGTTGCTAGTAGCAGAGCATATTATCGTTTTTGATAAACTCTGAATAAAATACAGCAGAGCATTGCATTTTCCAAACTTTAAATTTGTTAGTAGACCTTCTAATGTTATTTCTCTGGGAATGATTGTGCTTGTTTTGTTTTCTTGATTCGAATTTGTTGGAGTGGCCAAAATTGTACGCATGCTATTTAGCAGTCTATAGTCTTGCCAAGTACATTAAAACACAAATCTGAAAAATTATGAGTAAACGATATGCAGTTTTAAGGTGTTTCGATACAGTTTTTGGGAGACCATACCGATGATTTTCAATCGTCTGAAAAGTGATTTTGTCCTTGTCCGATCGCTTCAAACTTTTTACCAGTGATTGATTATGAACTGAAGTTTGTCAAAATGCAATTTTTAGTAAAATCGATATCACTATGACAACAATAAACAAAAATTTTGAAATCAATAAAATCTGAATCCGATCTAGACCTGTCACTGAAAATCCGACACCAGGAACTTAAAGTGTGGTGTTTAGCAAATAACTCCGCGAGAAGTAAAAAAAATTCTGTATGTTTGAATTCAAATAAAACACAAATTAATTTCAAACCTTAGATTTTCAATAGCCGTGATAAAATGTTAAATAGAAAGCCTCTTAATAACTAAAATTAATCTTAAGTAGCGTTGGAAGGCTTCTTAACATCATACTTCGATGCACCTGACTGTTTTCTCACCACCTGTCTAAGAGCAACTTTGTTCTAAATTTTGACTTTTAGCGCCTTTCTGAATATCTCTAAAGCGACTCGACGGAATTTTTTTTAAACCTCATCACATAATCTTCATAATGTTGATGATAACGTCTGAAAGTTTCATTAAGATTGATGCACTCAGTGTAACACCTTGAAATTTCAAGACGAACCTAGCCTACGAAGCGGTCAAAAATTCCGCGTTTCAACATTCACTCTTTTGGCGGTATGCTAATTTGTCCAGATTTATGCCCACCATACATACCTCCAAGGATAGTACATTTCAATGTGAATATGGTCAATGTTTTACATTCAAAATATGCAATAAAATTCATACTAAAATGTACTAGCCATGGAAGTATGTATGATGCGCATCAATTTGAAGAAATAGGCATAACGTCAAAACAGTGAATTTGGTAACGCGGATTTTTGGCCGGTCCGTAGGCTAGCTTTCTCTTGAAATGTCAAGGTGTTGCAGTTAATCAATCTTCATGATAGCCTGAATTTCATCCGATTACTTCGAGTCGTTATTACTCCCTGAGTTGTTGAGAGGAGAAAACGACTCGAGGCAATCGGATGAATTTCAGTCTATCTTCATGAAAGTTTCAAAACACCTTAAACTTTTCTTAGGTTAACAGAATGTCTTCAAACATAGTTCATTGATTGTACCGAAAATATAATACACAATTGTTGCCACAGGCAATATTTTCAAATTACCAGAAGATGATTAGTTTTAGTGGTCTTGGCAGATATGGGGAGTTCATTTTTTTGTCCGTGAGTTATCCCCACGGGGCAACAACATCATGCATCGTTTTTGCCTTGGCCTAATTTTCGCGCCTTTTTCCTAAAACATTTTGGACTTTTAGCCGTCTCGCACATGGCGTGGCTCGATCGCACAGACTTAATAAACCCTCTTTCATTTTTTGGCTCTATTCATTTCTCGCGCGGCCAAAACCGATAATCCCGTTCCTCGGTTTTTCTTTGCTCCAAAACCAAACGGAAACGCTTGCTACACAGGCTAATTATTTGGCGACTGAGATTTGCGATGCCAGTAGAGTTTTTGAATATAACCCTTTCCGCGGAGAACTTTGAGGTGCCATTTTTAACATACAACGCAGAGAAACCTTTTTAAGTACTACCAAAGTTTAACTTACATCTTTAAAACAAAACTTTAAGCTTAATTATTTTTAAGGAAGAACTCTGTGGGAAAAAAAATCTATAAAATACTAACAAATTCAAAATTAAACTTTTGCTCTAATCTACATATCAAACAGGAACACAGACTAGTTACCAAATTACACGATCAATAATTAACGATATAACTGAAAACGAGAAGATTAATTTCGCTGAATCATTAACACAACTTGATGACATAAAACATTTTCGGAATTTAAAATATACGAAAAAATAGACGTTTTTTTTTTTATCTTTTTTGTGGTTAGGATCATGTCGGGTGTTTTTCATGAAGTAGATCCTGAAATCACTAATACAAAGTATTTCTGTCGCGGCTATCAAACGAAGTGTGCAAAAATAAACAAATAGAACGTACGTCATTGTAAGATAATTCAGATATTAAGAGGAAGTCGTTTTTGATGACTTCTCTGGCTGAAAAAGTCGTGCTCTGATTGGTCAATCTAGCTATAAGAAAATTTGTTTAGCGGAACACCATGCAAAGCCCTCTTTTTTTCCATCAACGAATGTATATTACAAAGAATATAAATGGACTAGACGGTTATAGAAAAAAAAAAACTATCAAATTTCTCTTTTATATTTCTTTTAACAGAGTCAGCCACAATCGTTGAATGGAAGCAGCCCTTTAGAAAATGACCTCAACAGCAGATGTCGTACTCAAGGTGGTGTTTTCTCTGATGATCGCTATAAACTTCCTTGGAAATAGTCTGGTCATCGTGGTGGTCATGCGCTATCGAAGAATGCAGACCCCTATGAACTATCTGTTAGCTCATTTGGCATTAGCTGATCTGATGTTCGCGGTTTTTTTCATCCCGCGACGGTTATTAATCACTGAATTTCAGCATCCAAGTGGATGGGTCGGAGACCTTTTGTGCAGGACATTCACTCACGCAAACTTATCTTGGGTAGCATCAGTGGCAGCGGTCATAACATTACTAATTATTGCATGGGAGAGATATCATGCCATTATTCACCCGCACAAGAGCCTTGGCCGTCTGACGAAACGAAGGCTCAGGAAATTGATCATAATGACATGGATTTTATCTTTCATATTTCTTCTTCCCGAAACCTGTGTAATAAGATACAGTGATGAGAAAAAGGCGTGTGCTTTCTTTTTCCCTGATTGGCTCGGTAAAGCTGATTCAGTCTTATGGCTCTTTGCTATAGGTCTCTTCCCGCTAGGAGCCATGGGAATTATGTACGGCCGCGTGGTACGACGGTTATGGTTTTCGGGCGACCAAACTTCAAACGTATCCCAGAGGGCAATGCTGCAGTCGCGGAAACACGTGACTAAGACGGTTTTATTGATAACCGTGGTTTTAGCAATTTCTTGGCTTCCAAACCTTATTTACTACTTTTTGGAGTCGTTTAAATTTATCAACGATACAAGGACAATAGTTACGAACGTTGGTTCGTCAGAGCACTTATTTCGCCTCGTCACGTATATATTCATATCAATTAATTCAACCATTAACCCCGTTATCTACGCAGCGCACGACAGAGCGTTTCGACGCCACATGTGGAGACTAGTACCTAAAGGATGCAAATCTCGTAATAATAAGGTCATAGGAGATCATCCATCCACAGTTTCTGCCCTCGCTTTCAAGGGAGTTGCAATGGATCAGTGTAAACTCCCAGAACCGCAGGAACAGCACGAAAACAGTGAAACGTGTGGTTTATAGACGACATCAAGATATGCATTCTCTCTTGACGGCATTTAACCTTGACTATAGAACAGTTTTGCAACGCTTTTGTACGATTTTCTTAATCCAGTCTTATGATGATTTAGTCGTTGAAAGTCTTTGTGAAACGTGCTTTATCAACTTTAAGTTCCTTTTTTCTTTTTACAGACCTAGATGTTTTATTCACAGATTGTATTGGTATAGGTAATAGCATGATTTGTGGTGATATTTGGCATAAATACCAGGAGTGATATTTCAAAATTGTTATACGTAATTTTGGGACAGTTTTGAAATATCACGAGTGGTATTTATGCCTAATATCACGTACAAATCATGCTATTATTTGTTTATACTACTATCCGTAGGAGGTTTTAAATATTCACACGAAGGTATTTCAATATTAAGCTGAAATACCACTGCTCTAAGCCAATCAAATTGCAGAAATTTCTCATGTAGTTGTACAAACTGAAGTATTGTCATCGTCTTGCACCAGACTTTTTTACATTTTGCCCACACACCGCACATTTAACTGTACATACCTCAATATCACGCCATCTGACCACAACAGTTTTAGTCAGTGTTCTTGCCGTGACAACATCCACGACATATTTTCCTCAAAGTGCATGGCAACCCATCTTCTTTCCCTTACTGATCACTATACGCTTGGGTAACGAATGGATCTGACGTCGAGATTCCTGGTACAAGTTTCAGGACTAGAGTTTCGTCCAATCACATTCGAACATGACTAGCGTGTAGTTTGTGCGGAGTCAGACTCGTATAATGTTACCCCCAATTTCTTTTTTATATCAAACTTAGGTTAACACCTGCTTCTATGGCTTTATCACGCCAAGTCGGCTCCTTCAAAATAAGACTACTTTTTACACACTTTCCTATTTTAGAAAAATGTTTCCTTCATTGATGCCTTTGTTACCTACAGATTATAAAACCTTAATTTATAAGTTATATTCTCCACGCTTAATGGAGGCAATTGTTAAAAGATTTTGTTCGGGATTTTTTAGAGTTTTGGTTGGCGATCGAGGCGTAGTTTGTAGGCGTTCTTACCCGGAACCGTGGTGGTTTCCACTGTTTGAATTTTGGTAAATTTCGTGACACAGCTCCTTAAAGTTTGTAGGCGTTTACAAACTTAGACGGACTCGTGTGGACATGGCCTGCAAACTTACATACCGGCAGCATCTGGCCGCAGGAGAACCTCTGTAAACGATCATGGTAAAAGGTTTAGCCAGTGTGAACAAGTCCGTCAACCAATCGACAGATATCATTCCCGTGTGAACACCCTAAATGCAAAAGTTTGTACGCGTCTACACACTGAAACAGACTTGGTTTGTATTGGCCATTTTGAGATTCTGCGGAGACTGGGTCCATCGAATTGCACTATGGGATTGTTTTTGGGGACGAATTTTGACCCAGTTTCCTGCGAAAATACGCCACTTGCACATATCCCATAATGCACCTTATTTGCTCCCCCCCCCTCCCCCCCGCCAAATTTTGCATAAGCATTGTTTTCAATTCCTCTTGGGACGGCTGTAATACCCAGGAGAAATGAAAAACAAAGGTTATGGAATTTTTTTTTTTGGGGGGGGGGGGGGGGGGGGGGGGTAACTAAGGTATATTATCGGATGTGCAAGGGGGGTAAAAAGATTGGCTTGCTCCTGGGTTGGCTCGTGATCAAGTGAACCTTTTTAAAATACGCCACTTGAACATATCCCATAATGCACCTTATTTGCTCCCCACCCCTCCCCCCGCCAAATTTTTCATAAGCTTTGTTTTTAATTCCTCTTTGGACGGCTGTAATACCCAGGAGAAATGAAAAAAAAAGGTTATGCAATTTTTTTTTTTGGGGGGGGGGGGTGGGGGTGGGGGTAACTAAGGTACATTATCGGATGTGCAAGTGGCGTATACAGATTGCCTTGCTACTGAGTTTGCTCGTGATCAAGTGAACCTTTTATGTGATTTAAACTGTGCTGCTGTTAGAACAAAGCTTTTGGAAAAAAGACCTTAGCTTAAAATAGATTTGTGCGATTAGACTCAATTCAATCTAGAATTTTCTCTACGATGTAATCTTAAGCAAAAGAAGCTGAGTCGTTTAAATAAATTAAATTTAAATGCTAATTGCTGCAATTTGTACATTGTAATAGGCGTTTCAGTACGAGTCCTGCGTTTCCATTGATTGATCTGCCATCTGCGTGTAACGGAATAACTTAAGATGAATAAAGTACATTTTTCTGAGCAGAAAAACAGTATTGGTCATTTTGATGTAAACAAGTCGATTAGTCGCACTCCTCGCTTAACTATGGAGGTAAATCACCCTTCTCCTCCCTCTGCTCCAAAATACTCTCCTTAAGCTACATAAGCGGCGGTTTGCTGACTCTTAGTTTCGTTTTTCAATAATCCGAACAACGTTGCCAGAAGAAATCTTATGTAGATAGTCTATATTCTAGCAAAAATGTGATATTGATGATGCCTTTTCAGTCATAAACCCTTTGTGTATTGTTGTCATCACTAAATAATATTTTTTTTAGCGGAACTCTCTGAGGGTTGATTTTAAACTCACTACAAACACTAATGGAAGTTTAAGAGACTTTCCTGACAAAGACACTTTTCAAGAGGTTATATAACATTAGCAACACGGAATGAGAATCAAAAATCGTTTACTGTCTTTCGGCTTTGGTTACCTTACAAATCAGACTTGGTATTTAGCGATAAGATATATTTGTTAGTGTAAGGCCCTGCTGCAAAACAAACACAATTTTGCGTAGTGCGAACATAGCGTAACTTGGCCTCGTTTTTTCCGAGAGTATAATTATGATAACTTTGTTGACTACAACTATCAAAAGTCATTCCGCTCTCCCTTTCGTATTGAAAATTAATTTTGTAATCGCACTAGGTTTTTAATAGCAAAACCGCCATTAAATGTGGTCAGTATTTGTAGTCAATTAATGCAATCTTGCCAATGGCCTTCGATAACAGTTCTTAGATTTTGTAAGTTGATAATGAAGGAAATTAAATGAACAGATGATTAGTTCCCAAGCTATAGTTAATTTACCGCTTAAGTGAAAGATATATAAACACTTTCGTTTTTGATAAATCTATCATAATTCGTCGAGGGAGTTTGACTTAGTTTTGTAAGCCTCAGGGTGAGTGCCACGGTGACCACTTCTTGTTTATTCCGCATATCATAATTAGACTAAGCCAGTCAGCAGAGAAATATTTCGTTTACCAAATTTTTTGCTCTTAGTTATTGTTACTGTAGAACTGAAGGAAACAAATTTAAACAATATTCTTCAGAAGGTAAGTGAAAAATGCTTTATTTCGTTTGCATCATAGTAATCTAAAACAAAACTTCTGTGATTTTTAATGGGGAAAACGCTAACTTTTTGTTCGAAAATCAGGCTTAAATTTGAAATTCTAACCTCAGAGTTGTTGTGAACGAGTGCGAGAAAACGCGAAACAAATGATAAATTACATAATGCACTGACACCTGCCGTGAATAAATTCTAAGCAAATATCGAGCATCGAGTGGCAAGAGTTGAAAAATCGATTTCTTTCATTTTTTGTCCACGGGTAGCTTTCAGATAGATAAGCCGAAACGTGATGTACATTGTTTACGCTAAAAGCTCTTTAATTGCCACAAAAATTGGAATATCGGTTTTCGAGGTCAGAGTCTCAAAATGGCCTAATTTTTAAACTGAAATTCGCCAACATCAACTTTGCTTGCGTTCGCAAACAAAGCCACAAGGAGAAATTTGGAAACCTTACCATCAACAGAACAACTTTTTTTCTTTCACTAGAATTATGATACTTTCAGGGCAATAGCGAGACTTGTCGAACTGAAATAATTGAAAAATTAGGAATAGGTTTTCACGATAACGAAAGCTTATTACTAAGTTTATTACTCATTTTCTGCGGCAACATTTAACACGATCAATGAGTCGTGTGTCAATGAGTCAATGAGGCAGATCTAATAATATAAAATATAAAAAATATAAAATAATATTTTGGAAGAAACGATAAAATTGAGCAACACTCTTATTTATTTTGTCTACTTGCTTGAAAGTATGTATTATCTGATGGTTTTATAATCCTTAAAGGTTGTTGGTGAAGGCTATTCTACGGGGCATGCACGTAGGGTTTGACAAAAAATATGCAAAAAAATATACATTCTAAAAAGGTTCTCTATTAAGTGACGACCTGTACGACGGGTAGCAACTAGAGACAAAATGTTATTGTAGCCTTCTAGTGCGGAGCCAAAGGGGGGGTTACAGTTAAACGCCTTGTTTGTATTATAAGCGAGCAAATTTCCTTGAAAATCTTGTCAAAATGTCATTAAATCACTCATCCTAAAGTTCTTGGAACGATGAGTTTTTAAGAATTTTTTGGTGATTAACGTTTGAAGGGCAAATGTTAAAAGTTATGGAAAAATGAGAAAATATTGGATTTAAGGGTAGTTAAAAATTAAAATCCGCCACCATAACAAAGGTGGTCTTAAGCCAATTAGTGGACTAACTAGTTTACGTCTATACCCCATTCTATCCTTCTCTCTTTCATTCTCAATTCAACCGTAATTCATACAAAATTCAACTGTAATCCTCCCTTAAGAGGTTTACAGCCTCCTCCCCATGTGCTTCAACGCACTCTTCTCTCCTCAAAGAGACCTCTTTTGCGTAAGTACAATGAGAAGAGGAATGAATCGAGGTAGCCTGTTCCACTATCTGAACGCCTGGAACAGGCTAGAAATGAGGAGACTACTAAAAATCAGGAGCGTCGAAAGGACCGCAAAGGAACTAGCATAAAACTTCTCGCTGGGTCGCGTTGAAGGCTCGATAATTCCTCCTTATTTCCAGAAAAATATTCTGCTTAATTCCAGACAATGGCCATTCACGATCTTATTTGACATCTTTTTCCGACAAAGAAGCTATATTTCACAATCTGTTTGCTCCATTTGAAAATGACGCTTTCACAATTGCCGATAGGACTACGAT